CTACACAGGACTACCAAAGACAGTATTTTACATGAATTAAATAATGATTTACAAATATGCGCAAAAGATCACACCACCTGGTATCTACTTAGTTGGAGATGTCTTCACATTTAATAATCATAATGGTTTCAAATAGCTTTCGTTTAATTCAACAGCCGTGCTATGTCTTTATAAATTTCCAGAGAAATTAATACATCCCGCCAACGCGTTTACATGTAACGAGTAATGAGAACACAAATGCGTTTCAGCGACAAGAACCGGCAACAATTAGAGGATGTCGTAAACGTTACGGTTACCGCTTCCTCTCTCTAATACTTTTGATGTATTCGTGTTTACTCGCAATTCCAGTATTGGATTTTTAAAAGAACATTTTGCACCGAAAATTAAAAATCTCAACTTCCCTACTTAATAACCAAAATAGCCTAAAAAACTATAGCCATTGTGATTCGGGATGATATAAGATCATACTTCTAAATCTGAAAAATACCTAAATAAGTAATAGTACGTTGCTGCAGCGACCAGCAACTGAGGCATTAATGGACGAACATGCAAATGTGGGCAGGCGGAGCCTTTGGCACACATGTGAGTCCATCAATGCCTAGTTGTACATTTGTATAGTACTTTTCTCAAACAATGCGCGGAAATCTTAAATACAATTTTATTTTTAAGTTCAATGACGAATAACGAACAATAATAATTTTTATAATAATGTTCCTTTGTTTTTTTTTTCAATAAACAGCTTTCTATTTGCAAGCCAGTTCGAAATTTAAATAAAACCTTGTATTAGTTACCTTATTAGCCATATTTCGAAGTAAAAGGTCATTCGTTTTTTTAATTTATAGGACAGATATGAGTTTACATAATAATTTATCTGGCCGCAAAACACGACAGATATGAATTTTCATACAACTTTTGCCGGCCGCTGCCCGCATGTATCTGGCCAGTACGGCAATTTTGATTTATTTCAAAGAAGATTGTCAAAATAACACACATTTCCAAGCATGTTTGAGATAAAGTTATAGTGAAATAAAGAAACTCTTTGTTTGGGCATTTCTACTGTACGTACTGTACATTTTGTGTCTCAATAATTACCTAGTTCAAGCGTGAAAAACACTTCTAACAACATACACTAGACATCCAAACTGCATTTGGCAACCCGCCTGTCAAGTATAGCAACTACTGGTAAAAGCCCTCTTACGGAAAAGCCTATGTTCAACAGTGGACAATTGACAACTGATATCATCATGATCAGACCAGACTTTGTACTCGTACAACAGTTGCCTACATTTTTTTTTTGATGGGTGTAAATAGTATGGTATCCCCGCCCGCGCTAACGAGATACGCTGGCGGAGCACCAGTGAAGGGTGATAGATGAGAATGAAAACAGGCCAGTTAGTCCATCATGATGAATTCATCAGGAATTAACCATAATAGTTCCCAGGGAGAAACGCGAAGAGATCGACCTGGTTGGGTATATTGCTAGCAATGGGATTCTCAGTCTCCATTACAAACAATTCCTTTCCCCCCGTTGCCTACATTAGTACCTCTGTTCCACTCGAGATCTGCCGATAAGCAGCCATGCTTGCGTTGTTTTGGTTTGAAGGATAAGGTAATCTTCAGGAATGACGCGGTATGAACAGTACATAACAAGTACCATGAGGATTACACTACATTTTGTGACGCCCGTGATGCAGTTCATGTCTATGGGTGATTGTTACCACTTTTTATTCGGTGGGCCCGTTTAGGCTTGTTTGCCTTTGGCCAATAATTTTTCAGAAGACGTTTCACCAGAGAGAAGCTGCTGATTTCGCATTGCTGTTTCGATTTAAAGAGATATGGTATTAAATTAACTGGGCATGTATAATTACAAGGATGCATAACGCTACAAACTTCAGGACGTTTGAAGGGTACCTTGAATGTCACGGTGTATTAAAAGTCTATGTAGGCGACGGTTGCCGTTTTCCATTACAGTTTTATTTATCATCAACTCCTTTTAGAATACAATTTATTTCTTGAACAAAATAACAAATATTTAACTGTAGGCCTTCCCGAGCCATCCATCAGAACTGCTATGTAAATAGGCTAAAAGAGAACTGTGCAAGTTGTTTGTACAAACTGTATCAGAGGCGCCGAGTGGTGTGTCAACACGTCAACAGTGCGAGATGATTGAAGTTTGATTTGCACGTGGGACCAGATTGGCGCGCAATTATTGATGACACGGACGCCTACTGTCTACTATGTGTACAATCTAGTGATACCACCGGCTATTGCTTCTCTGTTCGGTTAGATTTTTCAATACTAGATGCTTACAAAAGTAAACATTTTACAAAAAAAAAATTAAATAATTTAAAGGACTCAAGGAAGAAGAGTAAATTTCTTCCTGAATTCGTCCATACGTTTTTGTCGCTACCAGTTCAGAGCTGATTTTGATATTTCTTCTTGCAATCGACAATGTTAGGAACATCGTTAAAAGCTGCTGCTTTTTACGAAGCAAACAATGCGTTGCTAAGTGAAATCTACTTAGACAGATGGTACAATGTTCTAAATGTAAATTTTCTTCTAACATATGTATAAAGCTTCTCGTTGTCTTTCAATGTATTTTCATGTAATTGGAGTCGCTGCTGTTTTCTTCTTTTTTCCGTTTTTTCTCCATTTTTATGCACTTGTTAGTTTATAAATAACATAATAAAATATATTTATAAAATAGTAATCCTGCAAATCAGCCCAGAAATATTGTAGAAATGGATATACACAAGCTTATCGCCATGAGTGAATTACCCCTTACTGTCGAGTGAGTGCCATAAAAGGCGACAAAGGGAATGTAACGGCCAAAGGATGGGCAGCAACATCTCTCTTAAAACATCACCTAAGCCTAATTGCATTTGCCGATCTGCTTGCCAAGCGTAACAATTTTTGGCAAAACCCCCATATGGAGTAAGCCTATGTCCAACAGTGCACAGTTGACTTTTTTTTTTATACAACTTAGAATAGCAAACAAGCTGACGGCCCACCTGATGGAAAGTGGTAACCGTCGCCTATAGACATGAGCAGTACCATGGACATAACAGAGTATACTGTTTTGCCCATGATACCCCCCATGCGTTGCCATTCCTGAGGATTCAGGTGTTATTCCTCTGTACCCTGTAAATTCACGCCATATCCCACCCTTCAAACCGAAACACAGTCATGCAAACACAACTGCTACACGGTTGAAACACGATATATGTATCTGTAGTGGCTGAGTATATCACGAGTCAGCCACAACAGTACAATCACTCGGCGCATGACAAATAAACCCTAACATTGGCCGGGAGATTGTCGTGTTTATAGGCCATTCCGGGAACTACACTTTATAGCCTTTATCTATTTTGCCCAAATATCTGCACTATGCCTGAAAATCGATTATTAATTAATCGACTTTTCATTCCAAATTCGACCACTTGTCGATAGATTGATTAAATCGACAGTTTTAGAGTCGAAAATGTGCTCGTGATATTACTGGTATTGCAGGCGTCCTTGGGCTACAGTAACCATGTACCATCAGACAGGGTGTAAGCTTGTTTGTCACCTTAATGGTATAAAGAAAAAGTATCAATACAAAGTTATACACAATTTAATCCACAAAACCACTACTTTCGGACAATCAAATGACCAGAGGAACACCAAATGTGTTTCGAAATTTCGGTGCCAAACGAAACACAAATTTGATGTTAAAATTACATAATACATGCCGTTTGGAAACATCAAAAATGTTAAAATATTGTTCTTTTGGACTTTTATGATAGGATGTATGACGAACGAAATGTTAAACTCCATTTATTAGTCCGATTTTGGTATAAACAAAAATACGAAATTGAGTCCGAAACTTCGGAATTTCATTTCATGTTAGACCCGCAGGACCAGATTTAAGGGAGATAAACTTGCCAAATACCAGAAATGCAAGAGCAGCATGAATGCGCACCCAAAGCACATACAAATATGGTATTTTTAGAATTTACATTAATTTGTAGAAAAAAATAAAGAATGAGTTCCAATAAAAATAAATATTAAATAGCCACACGAGAAGCAAACGTAACATCTTAAACATTCTCAGAAATATAGGTCACGTGACATTGAAATGAAAACTACGCATAATAATAACTAGCATCCCGCCCCGGCTTCGCACGTGTGGACATTTTTTACATTGATATAACTTTTTTATTTATGAAATAAAACCAACGCTAAATGTTAAGTGGAGCAAACCGCAACGTATTAGTGAAAACCGCATTCAAATCGGTTAAGCCGTTTCTGAAATTAGTATGCACAAACCTACAGACAAACACGCAAAAAATCTAAAAACCATTGTTTTTGGTTCTATTGCGTTCATAAATAATAATAGTTTTTTTTTTTATATATATATATCTTCCATATACAGACAGCGACCAGTTATGATTTTATTATACATTTTATTTTTATAATTTTCCTGTTTGTCGGTTTATCTATTATATATATTAATGTTTCCGGTAAAAACTGTCCAATAACAAAGTGTAATTAAGAATACTAAATATACTCTAGTTTTATTAGCGGAAACTGGATCGCTATTTTAATATCGTGCTCACAAGCCTGGCTAGCTCAGTCGGTAGAGCATGAGACTCTTAATCTCAGGGTCGTGGGTTCGAGCCCCACGTTGGGCGAAATATTTTTTACATCGAAATATATTTTATGACACGATTTTGTTTCTTTCTATATATTTATTTCCTCTTAATGTATTATTCTTAAAAATATTAATATCAATTTAATTGTTTAACTCTTTTAGTGGGTCGTATCTCAAAAAATTCTATCTTCTCTTTTTATTTTTGATAGTATTTTATTATATGAAAAATTTCTATTGAGCAAAGTAATTCTGTATTACCAATATTATTAGCACCTGTTTGAAATTATTTAAAAAATTAGAAACAAACTGGTTGACATCTGTCACTGTGACAATTTTACAATTCACAAATTAAAATGGAAAAACTTACCTGCAATTTTTCTCTCTCGCATTTTCCTCCACAGCTGTTCCGCCTTCCTCATCGGCCAGTTCTCCACCTTGGCGCTGAAGGAACGGAAGAACTTGTACTCCTTGAAGTGAGACATCCTCCTCTCCATCTTGCTTGGCGTGTGGCCGGGCGGGGGCGACGGCGCCTTGGGCGTACTCGACGGCGACGCCATACTAATGTTTCTACTACAACGCTTCGCAACTATTTCGCTTCACAACTATCACGCTTCGCTACAGTTCTCAGTAAAAAAACTACTAAATTCACAAATTTGGACCCGCTTTATTCGCGTTTGAATTTCCACTTAACTGTTAGTGAATTGTTTTTTAATTTCAACGTTAACATTTTTTTTAAACCTTTTTTTTTAATATAAAAAATATACACAGACCTGTAATTTATTACGTTAATATCTTTAAAACGATTTAGAATTTAATAAGCTGTGAAGCATAAGTGAAAATGATTTAATAATAAAGCTGTGTAATATTATTTCTTTTGCCTTAATATCTCTAAATAGAATAAGGTGCGGTTCTGTCCGTTTGTTCGGTCGTCTTGTACCGCGGATAAAAATACCTATTGTCTGCTACTAAACCAATATTAGTTGAGCACTCGTTTGCGGAGCGTTCGTTAATTAACCTGAAACAGAAAGGGAGGTTGTTGGTTAATTATAAATTAATAATTGAGCAGACCACATTGGAAGTACTCTGCAGTATTTATACTGCGGAAAGCCTATAGAGTTATAGATAGATAGATAGATAGGTAAACTTTTTATTTGAGCCATTTATGACACATGTAAATTTACAAATGAGTTTATACAATCATTTACACCTTTTAAAATATATAACAAAAGAAAAATATAATACGAAAATATGGTTTCACCATGTGTGACACAAACAGACTACAGCTCAGTGATGCTTTTGCTAAAAGCAAAGCACTGATTTTCAGCTGCAGCTGTTATCATGGCATTATTCAATTTTAATACAAGTGTGGAACGAGTGCAATTTTTTAGCCAACGTCAAAATGAAGGTAACAATACATCCACGTACCTAGTACGTGGATAAAATGTATGGTCTCCATCCCGTATAGTACCTTATATTAAATATAATGATTGGATAAGCCATTAAAACGCAGCAAGAGGTAACAAATAAACAAACAAAGGGAGTTCACTTTCATACCCTACAGCCTAAATGGTCGCGTACAATGCGGTTTCAGAGATGTTTTCTCCCACGAACACACAGGTTATGGAATGAGCTCCCTGCCGAGGTTTTCCCAAGAGACTACAGCATGGAGTTCTTCAAAAGAAGGTAAATAGTTTTTTTCAGAGTCGTCATCGCGCGCGTAGTACCTCTGGTATTGCACGTGTTCATAGGCTACGGTAACCGCTTACCATCAGGTGGGCCGTATGCTTGATTGCCACCTCAGTGGTATAAAAAAACACTTTTATAATATTAATAAGGATGTGTGAATTATAAGTTTTCATCACTTCATACACTAATTATGTCTCATTGTTTTGCTCGCATGAATCTGTTTATTTATAAATATATTTGTCTAGCAAATATTAATCTATACTGTTCGATAAACTGTAACAACATGTAAAGATCGTCACACACTTCCTGATTTATATATTACTAGCGTTTCCCCGCGACTCGGTCTGTGTGACCAGGACATATTGACCAGGATAAGCACGTATTAATGACGATTAGTGAAGATAGTTAAGGTGCTAAGAAATAATAAACGATTTTTTCTCTATCATCATATAGCCGTAAACTGTCCACCATAACCTTCCCTCATAAGGGAGTGTTCTGCCAATAGTTGCCACGTTTGGCAGGTGGGTTTTTTTTTAATGGATAATAATGGAATGATAACCCCGCCTGCGCTGACGGTATACGCTGGCGGGGCACCAGTGATAGATGGTGAGAATGAAAGCAGGTCAGTTAGCCCGTCGTGATGAATTCATCTGGAATTAACTACGATGGTTTCCAGGGACAACCACGTGGAGGTCAACCTGATATTGCTAGAAATAGGCTGATAGTCCGCATTACTAACAATCCCCTCTCCCCTGGCAGGCGGGTTAGCAACCGCAGTTAGGCTTTCGTGACGTTTTAAGAGGGACGCTGCTGCCCGTCGCTTCCGACACCTACAGGAAAGGAAGGTGTGGCCCATTCTATGCCGGAACCACACGTCAATAATATCGTATACGGGATCTGATATATACGTATTCTCAATATCTGATCCCATGATGTGATTTGAAATTCTAGATTGGGGGGAAGGGATTGTTAGTAATGAGGAGTTTAGTCCCCATTAAATATACCCTATCAGAACCTCCAACGTGACCAATTTATCATTGAATTCGTCACAATAGGCTAACTGACCTGCTTTTTCATCCTCACCTATCACCGCTTACTGTATAATAAACAAATAATATAATATCTAGATTGTCCTGTTACATTTTGAATAACTTAAATAATATAATATATTATAATATAATAAATAATAAAATATAATAAGAGGATATTAACAAAATGTCTCTGAGGGCAAGTCATCAAATACAAGAAACCTTAATAGCAACATGTAAATATATGTACCAACGCCATCTAGTATCCGATTTCAAAACTAAAGTCTGTATACATAAATACATTTATTGAACAATTTTGTCAGGAAAAAAATGCTTGTGACTGTAATCCGTGATGGTGTAGTCACAGCCACTTACCGACTGTTACCGTTACGAACGTATCACTCGGCGCGCCCACATTTCGCCGAGCGTATTCGGTTTCTATGTTTAGATAAGTACTCCAATATATTTCAAAGATTTCGCCGAATTCATGGGAAATTGCGAAATTACGTTACTGGGAGCGGCGCGCGGTATAAATCGGACGTGTTGTTTGTTAGCCCAGATTTTTTTTTAGGATTTATTATCAAGTGGTGTCGGTCAAGGCGAGCGCTGCGATAGATCTACGGACGGCGGTTACAATCAATTTGTTTATATAAACACCGCGCCGGTGAAATTATAATATGAGTTTGAATTTTATCGCCACCTCTTCACGTTTCTATCTTTTAACAATTTTTATTCATCAATATATATATATATTTTCCCCCTTTTCGTGTTATATGTATTTTTTTAACACTACAGCATAATGCTGAGCACGGACCTCATTTTGCAGGTATTGCGACGCACGCACACACACACACATTTTTGATGAAATTGTTATAATACGAATTGTTTTATTTTTCTTTTTTAATTTTATATTCTTTTATATATATATATATATATATATATATATATATATATATATATATATATATATATATATATATTGTTGTTTCTTTATTATAATTCTTAATATATGTATTTTTTTTAACCCCTGTGTGGTTGTTGTCGTATATTTCTGTAAAATAAAGTTTCTTTCTTCTTTAACAAACAAAATTCAGACCTAGCTCACGAGCGCCACCATCAGGATTGAGTACCTTCTCCTTTCTAAAATCGCTTAAAAAGCTACATCCAATTTGATGACTTATAGATTAGAAAACATAAAAACTCGATTCAGATAGTGCGGGGATGTCGCTTAACATAACGTCATACACTTTCTGAGTACATCAGGATACTTATATGATGCTATATTACTGCATTTCATCAAGTATCTCCCCTATTAATGCTAAACCTCAGCTCAAAATGACGACAATTGCAACTTAAAGAATAATGGTTAGTATTGATGTTTATTTTTGCTAACAATATACGTCGCGGGGGAGGAAAGGGATTGTTAGTAATGGAGACTGAAAATCCCATTGCTAGCAATATACCCAACCAGGTCGACCTTCTCGCGGTTCCCCCTGGAAACTATCATGGTTAATTCCTGATGAATTCCTGATGAAATCATGACGGGCTAACTGGCCTATTTTCATTCTCATCTATCACCCTTCACTGGTGCTCCGCCAGCGTATCCCGTTAGCGCAGGCGGGGTTACCATACCATTTTCATCCATTAAAAAAAAAAATATATACGTCACGAGTATCAGGTGAAAATCAACACGATTCTCTCCTTTTTTTATACAACTTAGAATGGCAAACAAGCTGACGGCCCACCTGATGGAAAGTGGTAACCGTCGCCTATAGACATGAGCAGTACCATGGACATAACACAGTATACTGTTTCGCCCATGATACCCCCATGCGCTGCCATTCCTGAGGACTCAGCTGTTATTCCTCTGTACCCTGTAAATTCACTCTCATATCCCACCCTTCAAACCGAAACACAGCCATGCAAACACAACTACTTCACGGTGGAAACACGAATGGGACAAAGGTACCCAAGCGAACGACTTCTGTATTGTTCCTTCATAAATATTCTGTTTTGTGTAAAAATCTTATCAGTGTCACGAGGGTACAGCGTACGAACGATCGAATTGTTTTAACCATCGGTCAATATCGTCGAGTTTTTGTTTCGTTCGATGGCGAAATTTCAGGAAATTTTCATTATACTATTCATGTCGCGTAATTTTATCACGATTGATGTTGCTCCTTTTTATGGGACGATATCTTAGATTATTGGAAATTAATATTAAATTGATTTCAGCAATATATGTTATATATCTAATTGTGTATATATTATATATGTATATATAATTGTGTGTATTTATTATATATGTATGTGTATGTATGTTATGTATATATTTAATTATGTATATATTATATATGTACGTGTATATATGTATGTATGTATGTATATATGTTTGTATATGATAATATTTATATAATAGTGCGCCACCTACCCTTTGTCTTTTTCTCAATATCCTCTACCCAAAGGTTGTCTGGAAGAGATTGCTTAGCGATAAGGCCGACTTTTGTATCACTTCTCATTAATATTTACTGTATTTGTTATTTCTCTTTTCACTTGGTGCAATAAAGTGTAAATAAATAAATAAATATATATCTTCTATACTTATAATAAATCGGTAGAGAGGTCAATACTGTACATGAAATATATTTCCAAAATAACTATCAGCGGGTGATTAGTGATCGATACTGATGCCAAAAATGCTATCTGTAAAATTTTTGTCTGTCTTTCTGTCTGTATGTTCGTTATAGAAACAAAAACTACTCGACGGATTTTAATGAAACTCGGTACAATTATTCTTCTTACTGCTGGGCAGGTTATACTATACTTTTCATCGCGCTACGATCAATAAGAGCAGAGTAGTGAAGGGAAATGTTGGGAAAACGGGAGAAGTTACTCCATTTTTAAGCTTCCGTCGCTTGTGCAGCCTTAAAATGTAAATACTTTTTAAAATGTAAAAATGTCCACCCGTACGACGCCGGGACGGGCCGCTAGTAATATATAATATTGCCGTATGGTCCCGGCATAGGATGGGCCAGCCTTCTTTTCCCGTGGATGCTGTAAGAGGCGACTAAGGGTATTTAATAATCAAAGGATAGACAGCAGCGTCCCTCTTAAAACACCAAAGCCTAGCTGCGGTTGCTAACGCGCCTGCTAGGGTGAGGGGTGGGGGGGGACTACTATTAGTTATAAGAGTACCAGTCCACTAGCAATATATCCTGGCAGGTCGACCTCCTCGAGGTGCCCCTGGAAACCGTCGTGCTGATTAGTAAGTGTATTCATCATGATGTGCTAACAGACCGTTTCATTCCCGCTTTCACCCTTCACTAGTGCCCCACCAGCGTATACCGTCAACGCAGGCGGGGTTACTATTCCATTATGATGTATTAAAAAAACGCGTCTGCTATACGTAGCTAGTATTCGCAAAACCCCCTCTTATGGGAAGGCCTACGTTTAGCGGTGGATGATTAACGGCTGATATGAGGTGATATGATAAATATGGAAATAAAAAAAAAAACGTAAAAAATTTCCCACGACGTAGTACTACAAGCCCCAATATTACACACCTGTCAATTACGACAGATTTATAGTTTGCATAGGGTTGGCAACTTTTTAATACAAGAAATAAAATATATTTAAGTCTGAGAAGAATATTAAATAGTAATTTAGAAAAATTAACACAAATTTATGTATTTAATGTTTTAAATACATATTTTTTTTAAAACTTATTGCACAACTTATATTTATGTACAGTCTTTTTTAAAAAACTTCAGATGCCTTAACACGATTATAACTAAAATTGAAATAAATGAGGAGCTTTTTTTTTTTAATTAATCTGAACTGAGTAAAAAAAAATTGTGTGAGCCTCTAACATTTATAGTGTTAAGCATTTTGAACCTTGAAACAGTTTTTTGTATACTTTATTTGTGTTCAACAGTAAAAAGTATAATGTAGTGAAAAACAGTAGAATACTGTATTTAAAAATACAGTTGGCAACCCTAAGTCGGCAATAATTTATTTTACGCGCGCAAGTAAACAAATTGGCGAACGTGGCGCGTTACACTGATATGTGAATGATTGATGATGAGGAGGCTCTCCTCATCCGCACGCTCCGGATAGAGTATAGTTGATACAGCTTTAAACTAACTTTTACGGAGCGGTGGACTGTGATGAGGTGATGAAATATTTTTGATTCTTTGACTGTGATGTGATGAGGTGATCTTGACTGTGATGAGGTGATGATATATTTTTCATTGAAGATGATCATGTCTTCCTGCCCCCCATCAAGAACTGGGCTTATGGGGCATATAAGGCCTATAACGAAGTAAACCCTATCGAATACAAAAATTATCAAAACCGCTTCTGATTTGGTGACGTGATCGCATCACGTACAAAAACCCGCTAATCATTTTCTATCTCACTGCGTCAGGTCCGTTGGAAGAGATCTCTGTTGCAGATAAGTCCACCCTTGTAACGAGATGTATAACCATATATTTTTATAAGGGCAAAATTTATCTTTTCATATATAAAACATACAGATGGATTTGAAGCTCCTCAGTTCGAAAGTCGCTTAAAAACATTAATCCTAATCATCTAATAAGTTAATCCTATTATTATCAGTAACACATGGCTCTGTATAAATGAGGTCCTAGGTTCGATTATCAGTTTAGCCAATTTAGGAAATAAACTTTTTGAATTGGTTCTAATCTGGATATTCTGGATTACACAAAGTAGTCTAACTTGAGAATCAAGCGATTAGTGTTATTATGTGACGCTTCGTCATCATCATGTTAGCTTTTAACTGTCCACTGCTGAACATAAGCCTCCCCCTAGGGGGTTAGTAGTTACCACGCTTGGCAGGAGGGTTGGCAACCGCAATTAGGCTTTAGAGATGTTTTGGATGGATTTTAAAGAGAGACGCTGCTGCCCAAGCCCATCCCTCGCCCTCCCTCAGTTGATTCTTACGACACCCACGAGAAAAGAAGGGGTGTTCTATTCTATGCCGGGACCACACGGCAGTGACACTTATTATTTGTTTATTATCTCACAATTGACATAATACTAACATCCCTCCCACATCAGACACTCGTTTCCAATAGTGGGATGTTTTGGACGAAAAAATTCCATAGCAACATACTCGTTTCCGCGTCACACAACTGACGCGTTATTGCCACTTGTAATCACGATTGCTTCCTTACCCCTTCAATCGAAATACAAAATATACTTATAGAAACAAGTAAGTGAAACACTGAAGCCACTCGGGAAAACCACACAAACTACTCAATGACCTATCTTCCCGTGTATTAAAGATTATTTTTCAATGGCTTCTATGACTTCCATGCTACATCCTGCTTCTCATGTCTATAGACGACGGTCATCAGTTTCCACCAAGTTTAGCGGTCACTTTATTTCCTATATAAAATTATACGATTCAAAAAATATATATTCTATGAATATATTGTTTATAGAACAGAAATCTTTACTGTTTTCACACACATTTACCATACATTTTTTATAATTTTTAACAACTTCAACAAAGGACGTTCTAAAGTCGTCTGTATTTATTTAAATGTTATACAAAAACTTCTACAATTCTTTTAGCAATTCAAATTGGCATCCATTTTCGTTTCCATACCACTGATTGAAAATTGAACGACGTTCGAAATATACATAAAAAAGTGAAACAGTTTACAGCTTTCCGTACTAACTCGTCAGCTATGCCGTCGTCATTATTGATATGGGGCCCATGATTCTTTAAAATAAACTATTCCACTTCTAATAGTCTCCTTTAAAATGATGCACGACCATACTCGATGTCGCTTTGTATGAATGATACTGTAAGCGACAAAGGAAACCAGGAATGGAAATTGGAAATATATTTATATTGGTTAAAGGAATTTAGAAGACTAGGGCCGTGAAGGCAAGCCAAAAAGTAACAATAGAGATGCACGTCAATTTCAAATTTGGTAAATAATAATATAAAGCTATAAATAATGTATGTGGCCTGTACTCCATAGATACATAGGTTTTTCATTCAAATATTATGAATGATAGTCTAAATTCCTACAGGAATAAATTACTGAGACACTTTGTACAATAATCTAATAATAAGTAACTCTATTTTTTTTTTATACAACTTAGAATGGCAAACAAGTTGACGGCCCACCTGATGGAAAGTGGTAACTTTCGCCTATAGACATGAGCAGTACCATGGACATAACAGAGTATACTGTTTCGGCCCCATGCGTTGCCATTCCTGAGGACTCAGGTGTTATTCCTCTGTAAATTATGATAATATATATACTTTTCTAAATACTTGCTAATATAATTAACTGATTATCGTATTTACTGATATTATTCACAACTCCGATATATTATATGTACCTATATTTCCTCAATTAATAATGAAACTTTTTAAAATATTTGCAGTCTAGTATTACCTAATATTTGTATGGAAATTTCACACTAAAGCCTGTAGACGTCCTACTTCCTAATAATATTACAGGTAAACGTGAAAGTTTGTAAAAATATCTGAACGTTTACATATTTGGATGTTTGTTGTATGGATTTTAAAGAAAATCATACACTGACGAGCCATACTATGTACTGAATTAATACATTTTTATTTATTTAAGTATTAATTTTATAATTTATTGTACACACTAATTATTGTAGGTGTGTGGTCCTAGCATAGAATATGCTACCCCTTTCTTTCCCGTGGGTGTCGTAAGAGCCGACTAAAGGAGGGCGAGAGATGGGCAGCAGTGTCCCTCTTAAAACATCTCTAAAGCATAACTGCAGTTGCCAATCCGCTTGCCGAGTGTAGCAACTACTGGCAAAACACCCCATGAGGGAGGCTTATTAAAGGGTACTTGATAATGATGGTGACACACTAATTATACATAAAAATATGACAGAGGTAATCAAATGTACAAAGGCGAGCTTAACTCTAATAGAGTTCTCTTCCAACAACGCCCAAAATGGAAAGGAGCATCAAAGTCAGCAGGTAGAGCGGTGTACAATATTGTGACAATTTACAAACAAAAGAAATACATAGGACATACATACATGTATGGATACATACTTTTTATTTAAATTAACGCGGCCAAAGTCGCAGAATAAAATTAAAATTAGCGCCGAAACATAGGGTCGTTTACTATTTCATATTCCATAAAAAGGGGTTAATTAAAAAGCAAAAATCGTTGTTTGTAATAAAACTTAATAATAGCAGATTAATAACAGGACATGATGTGAAATGCCTCGAGTTTTTAACTGTTTATTTTATATCTACTACTGTCAAAAGTAGACAATGGAGTACTCGTATTCATTAAAATATATATAAAGCTTTTATGTCTAGCTGTAAAAAAGCTCTAAACATACATACAAAGACTTCAAAACATTACCCTCTTTTCTTTAATAGTCGGGTAAACAGAACAACGCGAACTATATATATTTAAAATTGAAATAATAACAGCTATTTAATTCAGAATTAAAACACCGCTCACGCAAAAGATTACAAATCTTAATTGATAATTACCTCACTATTATGTCTTCCAGTTGTTATTTACACTTACACTAAAACAATTAAACACACAACACTTTACGCCACTTAAGCACACATCACTAATATAAAGAAGTAACTAGCACTACGAGAAGAGATAGTTGTAAAGTTCGCCTACGGGAACTAGCCCCAAGCTTGCGAAATTAAAGAAGCGTCTACACCACGCGGCCGAATCTACAGGTCTGCTCTGGCCGCATTGCACAGAATTTCCCGCGTCAAAGATGGAAAGGGACAAATGTATAAATTTGCCTACAATCAGAGAAGGACGCGAGTACTTTTCGCAATTTCCTCACGGTCGGAAAAGCCCTCGGTGTGGGTGTGTGTATCGAATGCGGCGTAACATTCGCATAGTAGTCCTCACGTTTTTGATGGTTTGTGCAGTTTTTAAAAGGTTACCAGGAGATCTTTGTTACGTAGGCGCGGTGACCATTGGGATCTCTTGTATAATTTACAATAGTACGACACGATATCGTACGATTTGACCGTCACGACATTGTAGAGAAACCAAATGTGTGATAATTTTAATTTTCTGAAATTCAGGCACAGAAATAAAAAAAGCGTTTTCATGTATATAATCCTTCATCATCATCATTATTTGATCAACATCACCGTTAACTGTTCACACAGGCCTCCCTCCATTTGGGGGGTTTTGTTAGTAGTTGCCACGCTTGGCTGACGAGTCGACACACATAGTTAGGTTTTGGTTATGTTTAAAGAAGAACTCTGCTGCCCATTTCTCAACGATTACGTTCCTTTTGTCGCCTCTTACAACCACACGGCGATTTTGATGTATTACTTATACATTATTATTACACATAGTTAAATACATATCTGTAAACCTGTCACCTATTAGGGTAGGCAGAAACAATGGAACGCCATTATTGTTGGAATTTACAAATAGTCAATTGCCAAATATTTAATCATAAATAAATAATAACACAGTTTTTTTTTTTATTATTAGCGGATTTACGGCCCGTGACGAATTTTTACATTTACTGTCAGTAACACCCTCCCTTGCCGGCCTCTACCATTCGATACTCTATTTTACAGTCATAGTGAATTTACTGGGTACAGAGGAATAACACCTGAGTCCTCAGGAATGGCAACGCATGGGGGGTATCATGGGCGAAACAATGTACTCTTGTATGTCCATGGTACTGTTCATGTCTATAGGCAACGGTTACCATTTTCCATCAGGTGGGCCGTCAAGTTGTTTGCCATTCTAAGTTGTATAAAAAAAATATTATATATAATTTTTTTGTGAATTAAATTGTAACATAATGAATACAAAAAATGCCCCTAATTTCTCGCCCCTTATATCTGCCGCTCTAGGCTCCAGCCTACTCAGCCTGCTGGCAAATCCGCCACTAACTACGTGGGAAGTCTGCAAGTATGACATTTACAAAACGTTTAAATTATGCTTATAATTAATGCCCAGCGATATCATTTTGTATGATTATCCCTTATTTATATTAACTAAACTTTAATATTAAAATTTACAATATTGTAACTCTTTATAAATCCAACAATTGCTCTCGTCTGACAAATGAGAAATGTCAATAACTGTATTTTTTAATCAACTCCATAAAGTAGGAAGTTCCCAATGCGGTATTGTTTTGTGTCTCACGTGACATTTTCGCTTATTCAAAATACATTTTCAATAAACTAAGTTTACCACTATGTTTCAGTTATTGTTAAATTTTTATTGCCTAATTATTTATTAGCTACAATCAATTATTTAATTAATTATATACATAGTTAATTAAATAATTGATTGTAGTTAACGTCGTTTTAGATTTTAGATTCTTTTATTACATATTTTTGTATTTGGCCAGAATAAATATAAATTTACTTCCTTTTTTAACATAGAAACGTTTTAAACATTGGCAATAACTATTTTTTCAATTGCCCACTTATGACTGAAGTCGCTATTTTTGCACAAAATATAATTTCTTATTCATGTTATGCAATCGAGACGTTATATAGCCGTAAAAATAGTTCCGATATAATTTCAGGCAGAAGATGAAAAGTGAAATTCATAAAAGATATCTCTAGGGAAATCTCTTTAGCAGCGCAGACGATACATTTCTTATGTGAGTATTAAGTGGAATGGGAGCGGAGCGTAACGTGTAATCGACACACTGTCGGTATGATATTTTTTTTAATTAGAAATATTTTTTCCATACTCGCGAAATACCAGAGGGAGACTTTGTACAAAAGTCGCTTGCTTGGGTACCTCTAGGATATGGCGTGAATTTACAAGGTACAGAGGAATAACACTTCAGTCCTTAGGAATGGCAACGCATGGGTGAAACAGTATACTCTGTTATGTCCATGGTACTACTCATATCTATAGGCGACGGTTATTACTTTCCATCAGGTGGGCCGTCAGCTTGTTTACCATTCTAAGTTGTATAAGAAAAACGCCTTGTACCCTACTGATTCTCCGTTGTGAATTTTCAGAGGTTCTGCATTTAATCCTGTCTGTTACAAAATACTAGATGAATCTCTGATGAATGTGATAATCTAGAATCATTATGATATACCTTTTATACATATACATCAGTCACGCCTATCTCCCATTGAGGTAGGTAAACAATGGAACGCCAAACGCTCCGATTTAAACAGGACATTCAATTTTGTAACACATCTTCCATTTAACACATGTGACAAGATGTGTTACATCAAACTACATTCAAATCCATTCAGCTGTTCAGCTGTTAAAATAATATCATACTCATACAATCTGAGCTTCCTCATTAATAATAGATGTTAGATTCATTCGAACTACATTTCTGTCAGAGAAATATATGTATATTTTTACACATAGTAGACATTCCACGTAATGGTAAGCATCTAACTACAGTCCAAGAACGCTTGGAAAATATCACTTGAACATTGCTGGAATTTCTGGCAATGGAGCTCTAGTCATCCAGTAATTTCACTGTCTTATACCATATACCTTGTAAACTGCAGTACAGAAGTGAAGCTGCTTTATAAGGTCAAAAAAAGGATGTGCAGACTACTTTATACAAACTAGTGACTTGTCCTGATTCCGAGCGGTTTTTTTTAATAAAATACAGCCCATATTTTACTGATATTTGTAGCTTTCCACAGATAAATCAATCGACATGAATACTGGTGGGCACCTAGTGTTTTCAATGAAGAAGGACACAGACTATCTTTAATCTCAGTCACTGACCTGTTTTCATTCTCATCGATCACCCTTCACTGGTGCTCCGTCAGCGTATCCCGTTAGCGCAGGCGGGGTTACCATTACATTTCCACCCATAAAAAAACCGTTTTTTACTACATGTATATGAATATATATGCGGTACATAAACCAAAATATTTTTTTTTACAATTTTTGTCTGTCTGTTTGTTCTGGCTAATCTCTGAAATGACTGGACCGATTTAGACGGAACTTTTTATTGGCAGGTAGCTGAAGTAATAAGAAGTAACTTAGGCTACGTTTATTTTAGAAAAATAAAGTAATGTCCAAGTACTGTCCACTATCGCGCGCAGCTCACACGCATGCCACGTGGATGAAGTCGCGGGCACAGCTACTGCCAATAAAAATATAACTTCATTTGGAATAACTAAGAATAATATGAAATTAAATAACTATCATAATAATAAAAAAAAACTATAAAATTAAAGAATCGACTGTTACGCGGAATGAAGTTCGCCGGGTGTTGCTAGTTCTACATATTAGACACTAGACACTATTCGATGGATATTGTGATATTACAAGTGTTGTTGTACTCGACAGTTGACACGCGTGTTGTTCTCGTCTCCTTTGTCCTGAGGGCTGCTCCCGCCTCCCGTTAGCCTGAAGATGACGAGGATCCTGTCACACACAAACACTTGCTTGCTATAAACAGTAAACAGCAGCATACGACTCACTGATGTCGAACATCATTTGTTTTATTAATACATTTAAATTAGGTAACGTTCTGTCAAACTTTGTTTGTATTTTAAACCAATTTGAAAGAGGAAGGTTTATTTAAATACATTGCCTTTTTAACTACATCGTCAATTTTTTTTATAATATTAATAATAAAGCTTTCATACGCATTCCCCAGAGGGAGACTTTGTACAAAAGTCGATTGCTTGGGCACTTCTGTCCCATTCGTGTTTTAACCGTGAAGCAGTTGTTTGCATGGCTGTGTTTCGGTTTGAAGGGTGGGATATGGCGTGAATTTACTGGGTACAGAGGAATAACACCTGAGTCCTCAGGAATGGCAACGCATAAGGGGGTATCATGGGTGAAACAGTATACTCTGTTATGTCCATGGTACTGCTCATGTCTATAGGCGACGTTTACCACTTTCCATCAGGTGGGCCGTCAGCTTGTTCAGCCGCCATTCTAAGTTGTATAAAAAAAAAAAGTCATACATTACAAAAAATATTTTTTTTGTTATTTTAGAATAAATCTTCTTAAATCCTATCAGTATTACAAACACTTTCAAAATCTTGCAAAATTTCTATAGAAAACTTAAATAAATAGGAAAGTTAAAAATGTAAAATTCCTCTGGCGAGTTACCATAATTCTATCACGGGATACAAACAATATGGGAGAGTAATATTTATATCGCAAAGTTTACGTTTGCATTCCTGAATTACATATTTATCACTATCGGTGATACACAGGTGGTGGGTAGTGATATAGTTAGTGAGTCAGCCATTTGTTATATGCAGTACACACTCAGCGTTTAAGATAAATAGCAACACTGTGTAATTGGTGAATGCAAAATATTCACAGGGCCTGAGGCCCCTCTGACAAAGACGATAAAAAAAAATTGTCGTCAGTTTTTTTTTTATACGACTTAGAATATCAAACAAGCTGACGGCCCACCTGATGGAAAGTGGTAACCGTCGCCTATAGACATGAGCAGTACCGTGGACATAACAGAGTATACTGTTTCACCCATGATACCCCCATGCGTTGCCATTCTTGAGGACTCAAGTGTTATGCCTCTGTAGCCTGTAAATACGCATATCCCACCCTTTAAACCGAAACACAGCCACGCAAACACAACTGCTTTACGGTTGAAACACGAATGGGACAGAAGTGCCCAAGCAATCGACTTTTGTACAGTCTCCCTCTGGTAAATTTAATACAATTTTGATGCAAGACTCCTTCTGGATCTGGGCGTTCTT